TTTTGCATTAGACTTTGTTTCAATTATAGTCCCCTCGATTCTACAGACATCATGAGTGCTTACTAGTGTTTGTAGATCTCGTTTATGCCTAAAGGAGAAGTCGACAGTCTGGCATTTTGAGGGATTCAGCGTTAGGCCATTTATTTTAGACCACTGACTGATGTCCGACAGGAAGCTATTTAATTTGAAGCAGTCTGACTGAGACTTAACGGGAAGCGAAACAGTCAGGTCATCTGCATATTTGACGAAGTTGATTTCGTCTGAGAGAGGTAAGTCATGTAAGAAGAAGGAAAAGAGAAACGGCGAGAGAACAGCACCCTGAGGAACACCAGCTTCAGTAAGCAAAGGAGAGGAAGCTACACCATTATATACCGTGTACTGCATCCTATTGGAGAAGTAAGAGTGCAGCCAGTTGATAGCCCAGGACTCAGTTTGTGTAAGGCTAAGCTTGTTTAACAAAAGGCCTCTAGGTACAGAGTCAAAAGCAGATGTGTAATCAAGGAAAGTACAACGGACATACTTGGCCCCTTTGTCTAAGGAGGATACAATGTTGTGATGAAACACAGCAGCAGCATCCAAAGTACTTCTACCCTGTTTGTAAGCAAACTGCTTTGGATCATTTGAGAAGCTTAGGGAGGGAATGAGTTTTTGTAAGAGTAATTTCTCCATCAGTTTCAAGAAAGGAGAGGTAATGGCAATTGGTCTAAACTTAACACTATCTCCAGAACCAGACTTGGGTACAGGGATGATTTTAATATCTTTCCACAGAGAAGGTACATTATTATTAGAAAAAGAAGTATTGAGAATGCTTGTAAGTGGGTTACTTAAAATATCAGCACATTTCTTTAAAACAATGGCAGGTATACCATCAGGGCCTAGACTCTGGGAAGGTTTAAGAGATTTCAAACATTTAAGAACATCAGAAGTATTGAAACGATGAAAGTCACTGGTCGTGTTATTAGTTAAATTGAAGGCAGAAAGGACATTTGGAGGGCGGATGAAAGATCTATTGAGAGTATTTACATCAATAGAAGAGGCAAAATTATTATGCTTACCACAACCAGTAATTTCTCTAAAAAGCTTCCATATGTTTTCTGAGGTTTTACAAGATAGTATTGTTTGATTATAAATGTTGTTTAGTCTCTTGATTTCAGATTTAATTTGGGTGTTTATCTTCTTAAGACCAGATTTATTCTTTGTCTTGTACAGCTTCTCTTTTTCTCTACGAAGTTTTTTGAGATGAGGGGAAGAAAAACGATCCATTCTTTTGAAAATTATCTGTTTTGGACAGCATATATCAAGACAGAATTTAAGATAGTCAGTCAAATTGGAAATAGTATCATCCAGTTTGTGTTCGTTGAAAAGTTCCCAGTTAGTGTCATTTAGCATACATCTTAGTTTGAGCATATTTTCTTGTGAGTAACACCTTTGCTGTGTTTTCTTGGACAGATTTGAGAAGATATTAAAGTGAGATCTGCTGTATATCTTAGGTAATATCCGAATAATACAATGATCTGAGTTCATGATAGGAGCACGTCGGCGTACTTCATATATTTCCTCATCATTAATGAACACCAGGTCAAGGGTTTTATCAAGTCGAGTAGGGAATTTAACAATATTGGCATGACCTAATGATACGAGGAAAGAACAATCACAGCAGTTAAAATCTCCTGTGACAACTGATAAAGAGTTTTCAAGATGTGTAACGGCAAATTCAGTGAATTCATCAGCAAAATCAGATAGATCAGATGCAGAACAGCCAGGAGTAACATAAATGTTAGAGATGAAGACGTATTTGAATTTGGATAAGTGTTTCGGGCGGCATTTGACCGTTATACAATCAATAAAGGATGTTTTATACTATTGTGATTAACATTTATCAAGTGTATGTATAATCTCCAGCGTACATGTAAAACATTTTGCTATCGATTTTAAAATGTGACTCAATAATATGGTCCTATTTCTGTAACAATTTGATGATGCCTGTAAACTGGCGTCCCTCATGTACTGTGTCATGAGAATAAATTTATTTATAAGAATTCTCGAGTGGCCAATCGGTGTTTTGGTTTTTGCATCCGTTATTACTAAGCGTTTCTGAGAAACATCAATGAACAGCTTGAGTCCTAACGTAGCAAGAGCTTGGCACTGACGGTTTACGAGACTTGGCTGACAGCCCTCTTCACGATACAGGTGACCTAATACGGCAGGGAGATTTCCAAACAAGCATAGAGTTCTGTGGCCAACAATCACTTCAGTTGGACCTATGGTTAACGTCGTTGTTTTGCGTGGATTTTTACGCTCGTGGAGCAATACTTGGTGCCTTTTTTATATGATCTCAACCTGTTGATTGATGCGAACAAGAGGAATCTGACTAAAAATTGTACCTAGCTTCAAATCCATGGAGTCATCTCAGATTACCCCTTTGTAACATTTGCCTCGAAAAGCCCGATGACTGCACACTTTCTGCCTTATTACAGCACTTCCTCAAAATTCTAAAACGGCATCGCAATATCGAAGACGTTCTTCTTTACCTCGAACATGAAATCATCACAGCTGGCCAACCTGTCCGAGCATATCCTCGGCGACCACCACCTGATAACTTGCAAGCAGCCAAAGCTTGATTGGAACCCATGATGCAACTGGGCATCATTCAACCCTCCAGTAGTCCTTGGTCCTCACCTCCACATATGGTACCAAAGGCTGAGCATGGCTGGCAACCATGTGGGGATCACTGATACTTGAACAATGCTTCTGTCCCGGATAGCTATCTTATTCCCCTTTTGGATGGTTTCTCCATGGCATTCCATGGTAAGACCTTTCTCTCCAAAGTGGTTTTAGTCAGAGCTTATCACCAGACACCAATTCCTCAAGGATACATTCAGAAGACCTCTATTGGAACATATTTCGGGTTGTCTGAATTTCCACCAATACCGTTTGGCGTGAAAACCGCTGCAGAGGCTTTTAGCGCTTCATGGTTGAAGTCCCACAAGGTCCTGATTTTATGTCCGTTTACACAGATGACGTCTGAATTACCAACACATTTGTAGTGGAACACTTGGATCACATCAGCATTTTATTTCAGCGTTTTGAATAAAATGATGTTGCTATAAATCCCGAACAGTTCGTTTTCGGTGCCTCTTCCATACAGTTTCTGGGACAACACACAATCTCAGACGGTATGAGGTGAACAGAAGAGAAGATAGAGACTGTCATAAACTTTCCCGAAACAAACTCATTGAAGAAACTTCGACGCGTTCGGGAATGTTTAATTAGCATTGATTATTATTCTCCATCAAATGCCTCCTGTCAGCCACGTCTCGTAAACCGTCAATGCCAAGCTCTTGCTACGCTGGGACTCACGCTGTTCCTTGATGTTTCTCAGAAACGCTTAGTAATAACGGATGCAAAAACCAAAACACCGATTGGCCACTCGAGAATTCTTCATTGTAACACCAACATATAGCCAACTTCAGGCTTTAAAACTAAGATTCACAACTAAGGTCTATGAACAAATATTACAATAATAAATCACAATATTACTTCTGACGTTTTGGCCTGACTTCTTTCTGGACAGCGACCGATGAGACGATGACTGGTGTATTGATGCCTGCGCGAAAATTGGGGAAGTCAGTTTTGAGCAAACAACCATGAATTGATCGTTCAATCTTCAACTACATTGACTAGGGCATTACGCTGACTTCGGCTCTGTGTACCAGGAATTAGATGCCTATATTTTTATCCCTCACTTAGAAGAAACGTCTTGGGTTGTTGGCATTACCAGCCGTCGTGATCATTGTCTGAGTTGGGAGTTTCCCTGATCGGATTAACTACTACATAAATTGTATCGCCTTACGTACCGTATGGTTAGGTTTGCAAACTCTGTATGATACAGGCGAATATTTGGAGTATTAGAAGACGGACTGGTCCGGTGCCTTGAGAAAGATTAAAGACATTGTCTTGACCTGTTCAGTTTAAATTCTAACATTCCAGCTTGTCCACTAATGCCCATTTATTTGATATTTTTGTCCGCAGTAGACGCAAGGTGGAACAGTAATTCATTACATCTCGATACATCACAAACGCTGGTGTCTCGCGATATGTTTAGAATGTTATCTGCAAGCTCACTTGGCTCATTTAGTTCGACTGATTTATGGGACGTGGTCAAGACTTGTTGGATGTTTTGTGGTAGCCATTGCAATCACGTCTGTTGTAAGACCAGCTCACTATCCCTGCATGGGTTAATCAGCTGACACATACGCCCGAGGAGCTGATATGGTGATCTTGTACCTGGCTCAGTGCAGTGAATAATTCTTGGATCCTTTCCTCGTCTGAGACACATCCACTGGGTTGAAACTCCTTAGAGTCCTTCGTATTGATGGTCCGCAGGAGCGTTTTCGATTAATTATGTGAGGTCTTTTAGTACATCAGTTGGCAGTGTGTCTTAGACACATCCAAACATAGCTATCTGTGGCTCGACACCTGTTGCAGCACATAGGGGCTCGATGATAACGAAACAAATTCTAGTCTCAATAAATCAAACTGAGTCAGATGCGGATCGACCATGGCGTCTATTCCTGACACCAGTGTCTCCTCATTAATTTCTGATGCGGCAAGTGAGCAAGTAGGTGGAGACATTATTAATAAGGGGATATACAGATACACAGATATATAAATGCATAAAATATGCAGTCATAAATAGGAATGATAACACAAATATGCAGTTCATAAAAATTTTATGTCCAAGCCGGCTTACTGGTTAGTTTGTACGGGACTTGATAGAGAACTCTGTAACGGTACAACATATTGGAAGGAAAATCCAAGTTAGCGAAAGAATATTGCGATAGTATATTATGAAAAATAAAGTTGACAAGTTGTAGAAATTAATGGTTACTTGGTAATATGAATGAAGTCCACTGCTACAAAGTATCAACATTATCTTTAAAAGTGTTTACTGGTGGGGTTAAGTCTACTAGTAGGAATTATACACCAGTCGTAGAATAGTCTTGGAATGCGGATGAGAGATACTCGCAAGATCCTAAGGATAGTAAGAGTAGTGTAAAAGATGGACAGTATGGATCGGTGAGAAGACGGAGAGGTAAGCAGCATCTTATATTTGAGATTGTACTCGAAAGTCATGTGTATTTTCTGATGAATTGTTTAAAACATGAGTTATGTATAATGTTCCCACCAGAAACATCTAACAAGAAACTGTACGATCATACTCTTCTTGACTCCACAGGGAAACAGTTGGAGTTACCTGATGGATAACTTAGTTTTTATGGCCTTCTGGTGACTCATCTGGAGTAATGCTGGGATCTCAATATTCTCCAGATAGGAATGAATAATGTGACCATATGTTCCTGTGCCTTAAAACTCCGAAACCCAATTTTTCAAAGGCGCTTGGAATAAGAAGTGCGTTACATATGGGGCGCAAAAAGGCTTCCCGACAAGATCAGTCAAGAAGTTCTAACTCACAGCGTTCCTCTCGTGAGAATGAAAAGGAAGCACATGCAAACGAAAATTCAACAGTTTCTAGCGAAGTCAATTCGCCTGATTCCGATGTTACAGACGGTCCCGAAACAATTGACGTTCTTGGAAACGGTCTTATTATGAAAAAAGTAACTCTACATTAAGCAGCAACTAGCTTTCAGACATTGCAAAAGGGTCTTGGCCGAGAAACCCGTCCAAATCATGGGGATTCTGTGTTGGTGAACTATAAATGCTGGTTGGAAGATGGAACACTTGTTGAGGAGGCGGAAAATGCTAACATAGTTCTTGGTGACGGCGATGTCATACATGGTGAGAGAAAATTTATAAAACTAAATCTTTGTTCAGCTTTTGACCTTGCCATTCCGCTTGCCGAGCACAAAGAGGTGTTCGAGTTGGTGACAGATTCTCGATTTGCATATGGATCCCGCGGACGGTGAGTTCATTGATTTTGGCATAGTGTCTCAAGAGTCAATAACGTTGTATTCGGATGTATTTGTGCTCTAATTTATATTGTTTTACTAATGGATGCCTGAAGCTAGTGCCTGCAAGATGTTTTGATTTCTAACTCTTAGTAACGTTATTAAGAGCTAGCATTGACTTTGGCCGCACTGCAGAATGTTTGGTGCAGGCTTCTGGACATTGTCTCACGTTCTGCAGTGCGTGCAAATGTGGTACCACATTGAAATGAGAAAACTAAGATTAATTTGCATGATGAAATCGATATCTGAATACGTTTTTTTTTCAATTTAACACAGTAATACTTTGAAGTAAATGTACACGAGTTCAGTGTTTCCCATATACTGTTCCATTTGCTCTTAGAGTTCTCACGTAGATGTAGAAGATAAAATACAGAAGAGGTGAGCGGTCGTTTTTGGATCCCTATAAACTCATATGACAGTTGACTGTAATTTAAGATATCAGTAACCATGAGGTCCGTCTCTGTCTGTTTGGATTCAACATTGAACTTGACACCGAAGTGCAGCAGTAACCATGAGGACTTGTGGAAATCAATGTATCTTGGGTTGCCAACAAAATGAGTAGCTCTAAGGGACGTTTAACCAGTGAGACACAACTATAATGTTTAAGTACTAAGCGTATGAAGTAGAACCAGTGCAAAATAAATGCTCATAAAGTGATCTGAATTCACAGCAACTGCTGTTATTATCACAAAGAAGAGATTCCTTGAATTATGGAGAATTTGTAACATGCTGTATATCCTAGATCTTGTTGTTTTGAACACATCTATGTGAAATAAAAGTGTGGGCTGTGCATACGATTTTCAAGTTGTCTAATTTGATTACTGAAATGTGTTCATCACTTACAAGACTTTTTGAAATATTTTAGAGACCCAGATATTCCTTCAGAAGCCAAATTAACTTATCGTATCGAAGTTTTGAAGGTGGACGATCCTCCTTGTTACGGTACTATGTCCACTTCGGAAAGACTTGAGGCTGCTAACCGAAAGAAGGATCGAGGAAATTATTATTACAGGTAAAGTTAAGCCGAATAAAATTTTCATTTAACTAGGAGAGAAGAGTTCGCTTTCGCAATTGATAGTTATAACAAAGCTTTGAAAATTTTAACCCTGCCTCCTATTCCCTCACAGTCTTCAAGTACCAAAGCTACAGAGACTGACTGTCCATCAGAGCTTATCAGTGACGCAAAAATCAAGTTAGAGAATAATCTGGCAGCTGCTCAGTTAAAGGTAAAATAATTTAGCGTGTCAAATAGAATACTGATTTTTTTCTTAATTATGTGTACTTTAACTACATTTTGTTTGGCTTAGGCAGCGAGTATGGCATCTTAAAACAGTAAATCATTGCTTGTGTCTATGTACTGTCTATTCATACCTAAAGTATTTTTACTTTGTGTGCCACAGCATATATAAAAATCTCTGGCTTCAATAAACATTCACTTTATTCATCTATTCGTGCTTAGAACAGTTGGAGTGCCAAAACATGCGATTTGTGTAAATTTTTTATGACCGTAAGAAGGAAGATGCAATGATAAACGTAGAGATTCTCAAGTATTTTTGTCTGAAAATATATTTAGTGCCTACAGACACACCTAGAGAAAAGTATCAACACAGGACAGCATTATTGTATCGTGAAGTTATTACAGTTTATTTGCATATCAAGTAAAATGTAAAAGGAAAAAAAGGCGTGAAAATTATATCCGCAAAAGATGTGGACTGTTTTAAAGAAGAAGCCAAAACAGGAGAATAAAATATAGTGAAAGGGGATATGAAGTAGAGGTGCATTTCATACCAGTACTGTCTGTTTCCAGCCATATCAAATAGGGTCTCGAACTATAGGTTCGGGTGATCAAGTGGATCTCAAAAAAGTGACCTCCATTTCCGCACGAGCTTCAGGCGAGTAATTGAAGACTGATCTTGTCAGACTTCACTCCCTAGCAGTGACATACATTATTCATATTCCAAGCTCATGAGTATATGAATACCTCTTAAGAAGCTGTTTATTTTGCCCACCAGTTTAAGATTTGAATTTGAACACTGACTTCAGAGTCAGTGTTAAGAAAGACTCGTAGTGACAACTGAAAACTGTTTATAGTGAAGTAGATGTTCACACTCTTTGTTATCTTTAGAGTTTTGAACATCTTCATTATTGTTTGTGAGGCTGTTTGATACATCCTTGGACTGGCGGATTGATACTAATGTAGTAGGCGATGATTAAAGGTGAAAAGAATTAGGGATCAGTGGTTATATTTGTTACATGCTTTGTATTTATCTTTCCTTATTTTCCATCCATCGATTTTAGTGAATGTGAAGTATTTTCATGCCTTCGTGTAGTGAATGTGATTGTTGATGTGGTATGAAGAATCCTGTATTTTCATTGAAGAACATGAACACTTCTTCAGAGTAGTATGCTTAAATTAAGGCGGAGTAAATTACACGATTTTCCTTTGGTTTTACGTTCTAGATCTTTTGAGGACGTTTTTATTATCAGGGTATTGGAAATGTCAACTCTGTACAGATACTACATAAACACAAAAGCAGCTGTACTATAATAACCATATTAATTTTTTTTATCATTTTTTTGTTAGTAGGGACTCAGAAATAATAAAGTTCCATCTTTTATCTTTAGGTCCAAGCGTATGATGCAGCTATAATGTCATGCGATGCTGTTTTACAAAGTGATCCACAGAATATTAAAGCTCTATTTAGGAAAGGAAAGGTTAGCATTCTTTTTATTATCATTCCATTATTAATTCCTGTTACAATTGTATGCTTAAATGATCATTCCATACATATGTATGTAAAGTTAACGGTTGCTTGAATATTTTTCCACTCACTATATATCGTTTGACGTTTTGTAAACTTAGGGCTTATTCAATGTAATTATGTATGAGATTTTGATGTGTTGTTCCACCAAGAAGATTTTTGGTTTCTTTGGTAGGTAATATTCATCTGGAATATTTTTCCTGTTGCATTATGTCTTGATTGTCTTCTATACACCACTGTTCGTAATTTACTTTTTCCAGTAAAAGCAGATTATTATTGTTTCCTTTAATTCTTAGAGGCTTCAGCCCCACGTCTCCGTTGCGTTCGGTTCTCTTTCAACGTTTTCATCTGGCTCCACGTCTTCCCACATGCTTTCACCCCCTCTTCACGTGGCCTCCCACAAGTCACCCTCACACCGATGACCAACTCACCGCTTCCCATTCGGGTCCCACTCGAGGGCTTGTCTAGTGATTTTACTTGGTGGTTTTCTCAGAGTAAGGTCAATCCACCTCCATTTCTTCCTGCATATTTGTTGCCCAATCGGTTCCTTCTGGGTTGTTTCGTTCCCAGAGATCCCTGTTGCTGATCTTTTCTCGCCATCTGATCTTGAATATTGAGCGAAGACAGCTGTTGTTGAAGGTCTGTGGTTTGTTAGAAGTGTCCTTCGTGGCCCGCCAAGTCTCTGATCCGTATAGGAGCACTGACTTCACATTGAATTTAAAAATCCGGATCTCATTTGTCATGCTGAGGAGTGTTGTTGACCTCCACACACACTTGAGAGTAGTGAAAGCTTGCTTTGCTTTCCCGATCCTCACTTTGATATCCTCATCAATTCCATCTGCCTGCAGTTGAAATGACGCTTACCAGGCCGCTAGGTAAAGGAGGTTGCTTCTTTCAGATTCCGCCTATTTATTTATTTGAACGCATAAAAACTTGGTACAATATGGCACCAAGAAGGATGCGCCACACCATAATAATACGACATAAATCAAAAGAAAGAAGAGAAAAAATATATAAGTAGAGAACGGATAAAGAATTTCATCTGGAAAGAAAACAGTCATGCTTAACAAGTTGAAACAGTATTCGTTAACTATCATCGGGAAGGGAAGAAAGAAAGAAATTGCAGCACGTGTAATAGCACGCGATAAGTTTCATTGATGCTTCATTCGATTCATTGTGTGAGGGCTAAGTTACTGTCCGGGCGCCCAGACCGAAGCAGGTGGTTTTATTAAAGGACCACCCCCGAGCCTTTCACTTGGATTCTAATCCGCAAGGCAGCGGAGCAGCGTCAGGAGCTGCATTCCCATGGTTTCCGGTAACCAATATAGGTTCATACACCATTTGATCCAATTGGATACTGGAGCTCATGTACCCCATGGTAACTGCTTTTAGTTTAACCGTTATCCAAACAACCTTCTTGGCATGGTAGGACCTGGAGGTACAGAGTCCCAGTCAGTTTAGCATGTTGGGTCACTACGGTATGCAAGCCCGACCACCACGACAAGGTAGCAGTTATCGGCCGGGTCGCCCATTTATGCTGGCTGATGGTTGTCTGTTGTTGTCGCTGTTGCTGTTGGCCAGGACTCTTCACTTCTTTTTTCTCTATGTTCACCTGAAGTTCTGTCTTCTCTGGATGCTTCTTCTGCTTACTTGTTTCTTTTCACTTGCATATCTTCCAGTTTGTGGGAAATCAGACATATATCATCGGCGAAGTCCAGATCCTCCAAGTACTTTGTGTGAGTCCATTTTATGCCTGTTTCCTCATTGTCCGTTGTCTGTCGCATTATCCAGTCTACCACAATCAGGAAAATCATTGGCGATAGTAGGCAGCCTTGTCTTACTTACGTCTTTACTTCGAGGGATTCCTTGAGTTTCCCTTTGTGGATTACTTTGCACCCAGCATTGTCGTTCAACTGTTGGTGGAACCCCGTAGTAGCGAAGTAGTATCCAAATCACCTCTTGATCGACGCTGTCGAAAGTCTTTTCATAGTCAATGAAGTTGAGGTAGAGAGCTGACTTCTATTCCAATTTCTGTTCAATGGTGATCCGTAGTGTTGCGATTTGATCGATGCATGACTTGTTCCTCCTGAATCCAGCCTGTTCCTGTTGAAGTTTTTCATCCAAGGCGTGTTTGATTCTCTCCAAGATGATGCGGCTTAGTATTTTAGTTGGAATAAACAGGAGCATAATGCTGTGCCAGTTCTTGTATTGATTTAAGTCTCCTTTCTTTGGCAGTTTGAATAAGTAACCTTTCTTCTAATCCGCAGGTACGTTGCCCTCTTTCCACACCTTCCCTAATAGTGGTGTTATCAAGTCCGCTGATGTCTCTGGGTCCATTTTCAACGCTTCTGTTGGGATTCCATCTGGTCCTGCTGCTTTTCCAGTTTTTAGCACCTTGACTGCCTTCAGGATTTCAGTTCTCGTTGAAGAGTTGATGTCCGCTGTTGGTATTACTGGTCGCATTGTAGGTGGTAGTCAATTTAGAAGTTTTTTGAAGTGTTCAGCCCAGTGTTTCCTTTGCTCCACCTCTTTTGTGATTGACTTTCCATCGTCCTCCCACACTGGCTTATTTTGTGTTGAACTTCTCGCCGATAGGAACCTAGTAGTTTGGTAGAGTGTTACGAGGTCTTCTTTGCCTGCAGCTGATTCTGCTTCACTTGCCATAGCTTCATAATATTTTCTTTTGTCTTCCGTGGCGCTCTTTTGTTCAGTGTATTGCAGCTTGCATTCAACTCCTGTTTTTGCTGCTCATCGATACGCTGTATAATCTTTTGTTTCACCATCCTCCTCTTTTCTATTAATATGCATGTGTCTGTAGTGAGCCACTGTTTGTCCTGTCTCTTCTTCCTGCCTAGAACTTCCATACAGGTTTGACTCCACACCGCTTTCAGGCTGTTCCAGTGTTTTTCGACGCTGACCTTTTCGCTGGTGTTGATTTGTGTCTCTGCCTTTTTCTTTATTATTTCAGTGAAGATATCCTTTGTATCCTGATCCTTCAGTTTTTGAGTATTAAACTTGGCTTGTAATCTATCTGCAACTCCTGTTTCTTTGAAAGCTTTTAATTTGATTTGGATTGTCCCTTGTACGAGATAGTGGTCTGAGCCAATGTCTGCTCCTCTTCTTACTTTTGTCTCTAGTAAGCTGCTTCACCACCTCTTTGAGGAGTATTGAGATGAATTCGATTTGGTTTTTGTTTCGCCCGTCTAGTGACACCCATGTGGCCTTGTAGATATCCTTGTGCTAGTATACTCTGCCACGAATCACTGGTTCATTGAAGGCACATGTTAGCGAAGAGTTCTCCGTTTCTATTCACCTTTCCGAGTGCTTCTCTACCCATGATGAGTTTCCTTCCGGTGTTGTCTGGTTCCAGTTTGACGTTCATGCCTCCCATTATTATTTTAATGTCACGGACTCGAGTATTGTGCATTGTTGCCTGTAGAACTCTACTTCTTTTTCAAGGTCTGCATTGTTTGTGGGTGCATAGCATTGTAAAATTGTCACTTTTCTTCCTTTTGAATTGACCCTGGTGGTCATTATCCCGGGCGAGATTGCCTCCCATTGCATCAAGACATTCGTTGCCAGTGGTTACATCATGATATCCACGCCCTCGGTGTGCATGTGGTTGTCTGCTGGGTGACCGGAGTAGATCACTAACTCTCCTGTTGACAGTTTTGTGAGTCCACTCCCATTCCATCAGCTTTCACATATTCCCAGCACTCAAATACCATGTCTTCTCATCTCCTTTGCAGTCTGGGCAGCTTTGCCAATCTCGTACATGGTGCCGACGTTCCATGTCCCCATACAGACTTTTCTTTTGTCGCAAGGAGACTCATCGTACTGAAGTTTCTGTTGCAGCTTTGTTTACAGGGTGGGGTTACCAGCCTCACTCCTGAAAAGGGGGTTGTTACACGTAAATACATAGTTGAAAGAGGAGCGACTTTTTGCTCCCCTTAGAATCAGGAAAACAAAAAATAAAGCAATCGGAACAATACTAGCAGAAGGAAAAAAATTCAAAACAGGAAGGGCAGCGATAACAACAACAAAAAACCCGGAGCATTAGTATTGCTGTCAAATACAGTTAACAAAAATGATATCAAAACATAGACTCACTGACTTCGGTATGTAAATCCAACAATATATACAATTATAGATATTAGTTAGTGTTAAACAGTCACACAATCCCAAACAGTTAGTTATCGGTGTTATAAGTCAACAAGATTATATCCACATGTTTAGTGTTCGAAGGTGAAATAATTACAATAGATTCCACAATTTCCTGGCAAAAAACACCAGAGAAATGAGAGTTTTATGTAAACAAGCAAATGTTAAGCGTTAATCCGTAAAGGTAGATAATTGTCCCTGCAAACCAACACTTGAATACTTATTCTTTAGTTTATTTTTTATATGCACAACTAGTAATGAATATATCTGAAATATACGCGAATATTATTACTATTTGCATTCTCTTTGTAATTTCTCTCATAATGCCTGCAATTTGATTTTTTTTTGTTACACCGGTGATTTGTGACAGTATAGCCTGGTTGCTGGGTTGATGTAGCATCCATATCCTGTGGATTGTGTATGATAATACCAAATACCCTAAAACGCTTGACTTCAACAATTCGTAAATATTGCATGGAGGATTTCATCATGGGCTGACATCAGTTAGAGAACCAATGAAAAACCTGCGAGTACTGGGCAGCTATTTCGTCCTAGTGTGGGACTCTTCATCAGTACGCACCCACCACAGTGGGTTCGAACCCAGGACCTGGTTACCAGGCAAGCTCGTAGACCATTGAGGGAGTACTCCCAGGTTTTCCAGTGGTTCTCTAACTGATGTCAGCTCATGATGAAATCCTCCAGGCAATCAAAGAAAAATCCCCACTAAACCAATGCTTGAAAATTCGTAAATACTTCCGATGTTACACTGGTCATACTATGTTAACATTTACCATGGTTTCTACGGTTATAATTATGTTGTAGAGGGTTCCCATGGTAGTGGCAACTTAGTTTTTTCACATGAAATTACACCGCCGCCAGTTTAATTGGTCTGTGGCCCAGTGTCTTAGGCAGTCGCCATTCACTTTGTTGGTCACACACACAAGGTACACTGAGATCCCAGAGTAACGTATAGCTCATATTCTAGTCTAAAAAGCCTGTATGGAATTACTGAGTCATACTATCATTACTGTTTCCTAATACTAAGTGATTATGATGCGTCGGCGGGATAGCGGTTGGGACGCTCCTCGACCATGCACATGGTCCGGGGTTCGATCCGCGGCCAACGCACTCCTTTACCTCGCTAAGCCAGAAGTAATGTTGGTAAAGAGGAAAGGTTGTGCACGAGTCTAGCAACCCCATTCTGTAAAATAAACACTGCTACAGAAACTTCAAGCCACTAGCTTGAAGCCCTATGTTCCACTGGGGGAAGTGAAGGAAAAAAAAGGTGATCATGAAATACACCACCTTGTGTAACTTCAAATGTGTTTGTAGTTTTCAGTTTTATCATTGTTGAATAATTTTATTATGAGAATTTTGCAACCACTATTATCCTTATTTTTAAATAGGCACTTTTAGAAATGAATGAAGTGGACGATGCAATTCCTATCCTTCAGAAAGTGTTAACCCTAGCCCCAGGTTCACAAATGGCTAGTGTGGAGTTGGCACGTGCTCGAGCTATACGTCAGAAAGAACGTGAGCATTTATCACGGTCAGTTAGTCGCCGATTTCCAAAAGTTAAACAAAATAAGACGCCCAAATTGTCTACTATGTCCAAAGTTAAACAGGCAGTGGTAAGTAAATAAAAAATCATGGTTTAATTGGGATATAAGTAAATTATGTTTAGTGCTTAGGTATATGCTCAAGGTAGTATACAGTTAGTCTGCTTGACTTACATGCTTTTGCGAGTAGTTCATAAACGTAAACGGTCAGTTTTATGTTCATCATGGGCTGCTTTTAGATACCTCAAATTTGTGGATGATGTTCCACTCTATCATCAGCCAATACATGTTATTACATTTCTTCAAATATAAAATGTACAGTGTATCACTCGAATGTAGATTCAATAATTAGAGTGTCTATATATCAAATGGATGGGAAAGTTCCAGAATAATTACCGGTTAAGGGTCAAATTAACGAAAATTACAATTAGGAATTAGAATGCCATAATAAACAGGGGGATGCATAAAACTCAAACAAAGTAGCAACGTAATTACTAAGAAGATTGACATTGTGCAATTTGGGGTTAGAAATGTAGAAATAACAAAAATAGACAGGATGTTTGGATAAAAAATCTAGTGGAATCATAACTAAGGTGAGGAAGAATTGTTGATGCAATCAGGGATTAAATATATAGAAATAATAAAATGACTAAATAGACAGGAGCCAACTTGAAAAACACGCTCGTGAACACTATCCAGCCCGGCTAGTAAAAGGAGATCGAAAACGTGTATATAGTTCGGTGACAGAACATCTGGTCAATTCAGCGCCATTCAAAAAATCCTTCAAAATAAAATACAAGATTCGATCAAACCTATCAAAGGTAGTGAAATTATTATTTCTACATTTCTAACCCCCAATTGCACAATATGTGAATCTTCTTAGTAAATATTATGCTACTTTGTTTGAGTTTTATCTGTCCCCCCGTTTATTATGGCATTCTAATTCCTAATTGTAATTTTTATGAATTTCACCTTTGACCGGAAATTATTCTGGAACTTTCCCATCCATTTTATATATATATATATATATATATATATATATATATATATATATATATATATATATATATATATGAGTGTACAGCTTAGATGATGACTTTGTCGAAAAGAAAATTTTCTTCGCTGCAACTGTCTTCTTAATTAGAGTGTCATTTTATCAGCCAAAGGGGAACCATTGTTTTCGCCTAAAAATTAATATTTTCAAGTTGGGATTTGTGACAGATAATATCATACAAATAGGATGGAAAGTAGCTAACTGATTTACTCCTTTATTCAGAGAAAGATTTACTTTCAAACGAAAGATATCGAATTAAAGATCACAATAAATGTATGCTTTAGGGAAAATAGGTAATTTCTTCAGCCTAAATTAATATTAACTTATTTGAAAAGAGATTTGTTACTGAGTCTGTCTGTTTTCGACATAGGACTTTGCACATATGTGCGGCAGTTCAAGTCGCCACACTCCCTCCTTGTAGCACACAAATCAAGAGAAGAAAGTGAAAAGAAATGCATAATAGAGACAGTAAACAGAGGTGTGAGACAAAGGAATAGTAATAACGAAGAAGAATATAGTTTCATTGGAAATCATAAGTCACAATGAGTGGATGCATCTGCGCCAGTCATTGAGAACGATTTTGAGCCATGTCACCAATTGTTTCCAAACATTGGTTCTTACCATCCCGAGGACCCCAACCAGTCAGGAAGTCTTCACCTTCCTACGTGGCTTAGACTAACTGTTGTGGATTTAATTGACTGGTGCAATGTTTTGGTTTGACCGCCGCTAGCTGTTTTCCAGCCTGACCCTATATCAGCTGACATTGTCCGTCGAGGAGGGCGATGACTAGGCATACGTAACACATGTCCTAACCATCTCAGTCGATGTAACTTCACAGCCTCATCGATTGATTTCCCCTCCTTACCTAGAACTCGACGCCTAACCTCAATATTGCTCACCTTACTATACCACTTCACACGGGAGAAAGAGTGCAGGCACCTATGATCAAAGACAGCTTATCTTTTCATGTCTTCCACTGTCAATGGCCAAGTTTCACATCTAGCCATAAAGGAGGACGGAGCGAGCTGATGAGCAGTGAACCCGCCCTTTGGTCGATATCACGTCTACGCCAGAGACGGCGTAAACTGGTATATGCGAAACTAGCCCTCCGTATCTGTGCTGAGATTTCGTCAGAGGTCAGCCCGTTGGGGCTGATGGTACTTCCCAAATTAGTGAAGCGGTCAACGTGGTCTACCACTTCACTTCCTATTTCTAATCTAGAAGTCGGTGTAGTCCAGTCCTGTCACTGAGTGAGGTAAATTATTTAGCGGTTGATGCTTTAATTGAGTTAAATCTTCATTCTATCACCGACTTTATTGATCCAAGAGGAACCCATGAGTTTATAGAGTCATTCAATGTCAAGCATGCTGCGGTTGCCATTTACAAAGGTGTAAAACTTCTCTTCAAAAGAAGCAGCTTTCATTTAGGGCAGTGAAGCTAGATGTTCACTACTGCGTAACATCATAACATGCCATATTCTGTATTGTGATGCAGCATAAATTCTTCATTATTTTATTTTGTGTACTGCATGCTTACTTTCATATATTGTCAATTCTGAGATAAGATTGTTTACGTCTATTTTCTTATTTATTTATTTATACACAGAGTTCTCGGTCTGTGATTGTAACAAGTATTGTGGCAGTGTTTTCCGTCTTTGTCGGTCTAGTTGTATACATATATCAACCTGTTCTTATGGGTATTAGTGCATAATAATAATAAGCACAAGCCCAGAAACAATTTCTCCACTTGTAGTCTATTGCATTATCAAACGATGAAGAAGTGTACATTATGAATTGAAGGTGTGTATAATAAATATATCCTTATTATTTAATTAATATTATCAAAAATAACTAACTGATTTCAAGCACAAAATTGTTTACTTTAAAACCTTACCTTTCTATATTCCTATCTATATCTTTGTCATTTATTTCCTTTAGGTGAACATTTATTTGTTTGAGTTAATGATGATGTTCTCTACTCCTGTTTTTTTTCCCTGCCTACCTTTTTGTTTAAACTTATGGCCTTATTATTAGGGAATATGAACATTTCATCTCACCTTGTATGTGTGTGTGCGTAGCATAACTGTATTCAAACAAGGAAACACAAACACATCTATGACACGTATTGAGACAGAATTTTTATATTACAATATATATATATATAATATATAATATATAATATGGGTCTTTCTCCACTTTGTGTTTTCTTTCTTTTTTGGTTGTTGACAAATGCATATAGTTTAACTATTTCTTTCTCTTGTTTTAGTGGTTTAATTACTGTATTATTCACATAATATTTTAGCATTGCATGATTTCAATTTCTCTTTTTTCTTCCTGTTTGATTTTGTTTGTTTGAAATAATACATATGGTTTTTATCTTCAACAGAATGATTGTTTGCTCTCTCTCTCTCGCGCGCGCGATAATAAGTAAGTCGGTAGTAAATTAGTGGGTGCGTCGGTGGCCCAGCGGTTAGCATACTCGCCGACCATGCACATGGTCCAGGTTTCGATCACCGGCCACCGACCCACTGCTTTACCTCATTTATCCAGTAATAAGACTGGTAAAGGGGGAAGGTTTGGGCATGATGAGGATATAGCAACCCCATCCTGTAAAAATATACACAGCTACAGAAACGTGAAGCCCTATGATCCACTGGAAACGTGAAGGAAATAAAAAATAGTAAATGAGTATTTTGAACACAATGCTGAAGAATGTTTCTCTCTGATGAGACACTTGATGATTTCCCAAATACAGGTAGTTAGTTAGAGACGGTTGTGTAAAAAAGGCATAGGGACTCTTGTTATAAAATCTGGTAGTATTGCGTAACTGTTTGAGTTATCACATTGACTACCTATACAAATCAGGTAGACGGTAATGCGAGGATGGAAGAGCAAGTGGGAAATAGTATTGTGGTGAGGGGGCTGGCTGCTAGCCAAAATTGGTTAGATAGTAATTTACGTTAATATCAGTAAAAAGTTTGAGCATTTTGGATTAGATCAAATAAAGTATAATTATATTTCAATAGTTTACACACAATCATAAGTTTCGTTATTGGAAATATTACGTCAATGTTTACATCCGCAATATTGGTCATGAGAAAAATAAGACTGACTCAACAACCAATCACAACAGACTTTGCGTAGGCGGATACAATTTGCAGATATTAAGAAGACAATAGCAGCGAAGGTTTTCTTTTCGACGAAGTCATCATCTAGGCTGTACATTCGTGTATTTATATCAGGTGGATGGGAAAGTTCCAGAGTAATTTCCGGTCAAAGGTGAAATTCATAAAAATTACCATTGGGAATTAGAATGCCATAATAAACATAGGGGCGGATAAAACAAACAAATGTCTTTTGATATATCCTTCTTGTTCACCAATGTACCGTTAATGGAGACAGTGGGTTTTGTATGTGAGGAGATTACTACACGAAACATAGACACCGGCATTTCTGTATCCACTTTGAAAGAACTTATTTTAAGATGTACAATGAACGTTCATTTCTTATTCAATAAGGAATATTACAGACAAATTGATGGTGTAGCTATGGGTTCCCCATTAGGCCCAATCCTAGCTGATTTTTTCCTCGCTAAGTTAGAGAATGGACCACTGAAAGGAGTAATTAGGGACTTGGATGTCTACTGTCGATATATGGATGATACATTTCTGGTCATAATAAACGAGGACGATGTAATGAACATCCTTGACGAGTTTAATGATGCCCATTGAGCAATAAACTTTACTATAGAGAAAGAAAGTAATGACAGTATCTCATTCCTAGACGTCTTCATGGCAAGGAAAGATGGCACGCTAAGAAGGAGTGTGTGCAGGAAACCTACTACAACAGGTCAATACACTCATTTTTTGAGTTTTGTACCTTTGAAATATAAACGTAACCTGGTAAAGTGTCAGGTTCATAGAGCTAGGTTAATCTGTTCAGACGACTGCTCCAATGAGGAGCTTAAGATTATTAGAGAATTACTGAGAAAAAATGGTTATCCAGTTTATTGAGAATATGAATTCATCACCTGGGACAGTCATACATATGTATGTAAAGTTAACGGTTGCTTGAATATTTTTCCACTCACTATATATCGTTTGACGTTTTGTAAACTTAGGGCTTATTCAATGTAATTATGTATGAGATTTTGATGTGTTGTTCCACCAAGAAGATTTTTGGTTTCTTTGGTAGGTAATATTCATCTGGAATATTTTTCCTGTTGCATTATGTCTTGATTGTCTTCTATACACCACTGTTCGTAATTTACTTTTTCCAGTAAAAGCAGATTATTATTGTTTCCTTTAATTCTTAGAGGCTTCAGCCCCACGTCTCCGTTGCGTTCGGTTCTCTTTCAACGTTTTCATCTGGCTCCACGTCTTCCCACATGCTTTCACCCCCTCTTCACGTGGCCTCCCACAAGTCACCCTCACACCGATGACCAACTCACCGCTTCCCATTCGGGTCCCACTCGAGGGCTTGTCTAGTGATTTTACTTGGTGGTTTTCTCAGAGTAAGGTCAATCCACCTCCATTTCTTCCTGCATATTTGTTGCCCAATCGGTTCCTTCTGGGTTGTTTCGTTCCCAGAGATCCCTGTTGCTGATCTTTTCTCGCCATCTGATCTTGAATATTGAGCGAAGACAGCTGTTGTTGAAGGTCTGTGGTTTGTTAGAAGTGTCCTTCGTGGCCCGCCAAGTCTCTGATCCGTATAGGAGCACTGACTTCACATTGAATTTAAAAATCCGGATCTCATTTGTCATGCTGAGGAGTGTTGTTGACCTCCACACACACTTGAGAGTAGTGAAAGCTTGCTTTGCTTTCCCGATCCTCACTTTGATATCCTCATCAATTCCATCTGCCTGCAGTTGAAATGACGCTTACCAGGCCGCTAGGTAAAGGAGGTTGCTTCTTTCAGATTCCGCCTATTTATTTATTTGAACGCATAAAAACTTGGTACAATATGGCACCAAGAAGGATGCGCCACACCATAATAATACGACATAAATCAAAAGAAAGAAGAGAAAAAATATATAAGTAGAGAACGGATAAAGAATTTCATCTGGAAAGAAAACAGTCATGCTTAACAAGTTGAAACAGTATTCGTTAACTATCATCGGGAAGGGAAGAAAGAAAGAAATTGCAGCACGTGTAATAGCACGCGATAAGTTTCATTGATGCTTCATTCGATTCATTGTGTGAGGGCTAAGTTACTGTCCGGGCGCCCAGACCGAAGCAGGTGGTTTTATTAAAGGACCACCCCCGAGCCTTTCACTTGGATTCTAATCCGCAAGGCAGCGGAGCAGCGTCAGGAGCTGCATTCCCATGGTTTCCGGTAACCAATATAGGTTCATACACCATTTGATCCAATTGGATACTGGAGCTCATGTACCCCATGGTAACTGCTTTTAGTTTAACCGTTATCCAAACAACCTTCTTGGCATGGTAGGACCTGGAGGTACAGAGTCCCAGTCAGTTTAGCATGTTGGGTCACTACGGTATGCAAGCCCGACCACCACGACAAGGTAGCAGTTATCGGCCGGGTCGCCCATTTATGCTGGCTGATGGTTGTCTGTTGTTGTCGCTGTTGCTGTTGGCCAGGACTCTTCACTTCTTTTTTCTCTATGTTCACCTGAAGTTCTGTCTTCTCTGGATGCTTCTTCTGCTTACTTGTTTCTTTTCACTTGCATATCTTCCAGTTTGTGGGAAATCAGACATATATCATCGGCGAAGTCCAGATCCTCCAAGTACTTTGTGTGAGTCCATTTTATGCCTGTTTCCTCATTGTCCGTTGTCTGTCGCATTATCCAGTCTACCACAATCAGGAAAATCATTGGCGATAGTAGGCAGCCTTGTCTTACTTACGTCTTTACTTCGAGGGATTCCTTGAGTTTCCCTTTGTGGATTACTTTGCACCCAGCATTGTCGTTCAACTGTTGGTGGAACCCCGTAGTAGCGAAGTAGTATCCAAATCACCTCTTGATCGACGCTGTCGAAAGTCTTTTCATAGTCAATGAAGTTGAGGTAGAGAGCTGACTTCTATTCCAATTTCTGTTCAATGGTGATCCGTAGTGTTGCGATTTGATCGATGCATGACTTGTTCCTCCTGAATCCAGCCTGTTCCTGTTGAAGTTTTTCATCCAAGGCGTGTTTGATTCTCTCCAAGATGATGCGGCTTAGTATTTTAGTTGGAATAAACAGGAGCATAATGCTGTGCCAGTTCTTGTATTGATTTAAGTCTCCTTTCTTTGGCAGTTTGAATAAGTAACCTTTCTTCTAATCCGCAGGTACGTTGCCCTCTTTCCACACCTTCCCTAATAGTGGTGTTATCAAGTCCGCTGATGTCTCTGGGTCCATTTTCAACGCTTCTGTTGGGATTCCATCTGGTCCTGCTGCTTTTCCAGTTTTTAGCACCTTGACTGCCTTCAGGATTTCAGTTCTCGTTGAAGAGTTGATGTCCGCTGTTGGTATTACTGGTCGCATTGTAGGTGGTAGTCAATTTAGAAGTTTTTTGAAGTGTTCAGCCCAGTGTTTCCTTTGCTCCACCTCTTTTGTGATTGACTTTCCATCGTCCTCCCACACTGGCTTATTTTGTGTTGAACTTCTCGCCGATAGGAACCTAGTAGTTTGGTAGAGTGTTACGAGGTCTTCTTTGCCTGCAGCTGATTCTGCTTCACTTGCCATAGCTTCATAATATTTTCTTTTGTCTTCCGTGGCGCTCTTTTGTTCAGTGTATTGCAGCTTGCATTCAACTCCTGTTTTTGCTGCTCATCGATACGCTGTATAATCTTTTGTTTCACCATCCTCCTCTTTTCTATTAATATGCATGTGTCTGTAGTGAGCCACTGTTTGTCCTGTCTCTTCTTCCTGCCTAGAACTTCCATACAGGTTTGACTCCACACCGCTTTCAGGCTGTTCCAGTGTTTTTCGACGCTGACCTTTTCGCTGGTGTTGATTTGTGTCTCTGCCTTTTTCTTTATTATTTCAGTGAAGATATCCTTTGTATCCTGATCCTTCAGTTTTTGAGTATTAAACTTGGCTTGTAATCTATCTGCAACTCCTGTTTCTTTGAAAGCTTTTAATTTGATTTGGATTGTCCCTTGTACGAGATAGTGGTCTGAGCCAATGTCTGCTCCTCTTCTTACTTTTGTCTCTAGTAAGCTGCTTCACCACCTCTTTGAGGAGTATTGAGATGAATTCGATTTGGTTTTTGTTTCGCCCGTCTAGTGACACCCATGTGGCCTTGTAGATATCCTTGTGCTAGTATACTCTGCCACGAATCACTGGTTCATTGAAGGCACATGTTAGCGAAGAGTTCTCCGTTTCTATTCACCTTTCCGAGTGCTTCTCTACCCATGATGAGTTTCCTTCCGGTGTTGTCTGGTTCCAGTTTGACGTTCATGCCTCCCATTATTATTTTAATGTCACGGACTCGAGTATTGTGCATTGTTGCCTGTAGAACTCTACTTCTTTTTCAAGGTCTGCATTGTTTGTGGGTGCATAGCATTGTAAAATTGTCACTTTTCTTCCTTTTGAATTGACCCTGGTGGTCATTATCCCGGGCGAGATTGCCTCCCATTGCATCAAGACATTCGTTGCCAGTGGTTACATCATGATATCCACGCCCTCGGTGTGCATGTGGTTGTCTGCTGGGTGACCGGAGTAGATCACTAACTCTCCTGTTGACAGTTTTGTGAGTCCACTCCCATTCCATCAGCTTTCACATATTCCCAGCACTCAAATACCATGTCTTCTCATCTCCTTTGCAGTCTGGGCAGCTTTGCCAATCTCGTACATGGTGCCGACGTTCCATGTCCCCATACAGACTTTTCTTTTGTCGCAAGGAGACTCATCGTACTGAAGTTTCTGTTGCAGCTTTGTTTACAGGGTGGGGTTACCAGCCTCACTCCTGAAAAGGGGGTTGTTACACGTAAATACATAGTTGAAAGAGGAGCGACTTTTTGCTCCCCTTAGAATCAGGAAAACAAAAAATAAAGCAATCGGAACAATACTAGCAGAAGGAAAAAAATTCAAAACAGGAAGGGCAGCGATAACAACAACAAAAAACCCGGAGCATTAGTATTGCTGTCAAATACAGTTAACAAAAATGATATCAAAACATAGACTCACTGACTTCGGTATGTAAATCCAACAATATATACAATTATAGATATTAGTTAGTGTTAAACAGTCACACAATCCCAAACAGTTAGTTATCGGTGTTATAAGTCAACAAGATTATATCCACATGTTTAGTGTTCGAAGGTGAAATAATTACAATAGATTCCACAATTTCCTGGCAAAAAACACCAGAGAAATGAGAGTTTTATGTAAACAAGCAAATGTTAAGCGTTAATCCGTAAAGGTAGATAATTGTCCCTGCAAACCAACACTTGAATACTTATTCTTTAGTTTATTTTTTATATGCACAACTAGTAATGAATATATCTGAAATATACGCGAATATTATTACTATTTGCATTCTCTTTGTAATTTCTCTCATAATGCCTGCAATTTGATTTTTTTTTGTTACACCGGTGATTTGTGACAGTATAGCCTGGTTGCTGGGTTGATGTAGCATCCATATCCTGTGGATTGTGTATGATAATACCAAATACCCTAAAACGCTTGACTTCAACAATTCGTAAATATTGCATGGAGGATTTCATCATGGGCTGACATCAGTTAGAGAACCAATGAAAAACCTGCGAGTACTGGGCAGCTATTTCGTCCTAGTGTGGGACTCTTCATCAGTACGCACCCACCACAGTGGGTTCGAACCCAGGACCTGGTTACCAGGCAAGCTCGTAGACCATTGAGGGAGTACTCCCAGGTTTTCCAGTGGTTCTCTAACTGATGTCAGCTCATGATGAAATCCTCCAGGCAATCAAAGAAAAATCCCCACTAAACCAATGCTTGAAAATTCGTAAATACTTCCGATGTTACACTGGTCATACTATGTTAACATTTACCATGGTTTCTACGGTTATAATTATGTTGTAGAGGGTTCCCATGGTAGTGGCAACTTAGTTTTTTCACATGAAATTACACCGCCGCCAGTTTAATTGGTCTGTGGCCCAGTGTCTTAGGCAGTCGCCATTCACTTTGTTGGTCACACACACAAGGTACACTGAGATCCCAGAGTAACGTATAGCTCATATTCTAGTCTAAAAAGCCTGTATGGAATTACTGAGTCATACTATCATTACTGTTTCCTAATACTAAGTGATTATGATGCGTCGGCGGGATAGCGGTTGGGACGCTCCTCGACCATGCACATGGTCCGGGGTTCGATCCGCGGCCAACGCACTCCTTTACCTCGCTAAGCCAGAAGTAATGTTGGTAAAGAGGAAAGGTTGTGCACGAGTCTAGCAACCCCATTCTGTAAAATAAACACTGCTACAGAAACTTCAAGCCACTAGCTTGAAGCCCTATGTTCCACTGGGGGAAGTGAAGGAAAAAAAAGGTGATCATGAAATACACCACCTTGTGTAACTTCAAATGTGTTTGTAGTTTTCAGTTTTATCATTGTTGAATAATTTTATTATGAGAATTTTGCAACCACTATTATCCTTATTTTTAAATAGGCACTTTTAGAAATGAATGAAGTGGACGATGCAATTCCTATCCTTCAGAAAGTGTTAACCCTAGCCCCAGGTTCACAAATGGCTAGTGTGGAGTTGGCACGTGCTCGAGCTATACGTCAGAAAGAACGTGAGCATTTATCACGGTCAGTTAGTCGCCGATTTCCAAAAGTTAAACAAAATAAGACGCCCAAATTGTCTACTATGTCCAAAGTTAAACAGGCAGTGGTAAGTAAATAAAAAATCATGGTTTAATTGGGATATAAGTAAATTATGTTTAGTGCTTAGGTATATGCTCAAGGTAGTATACAGTTAGTCTGCTTGACTTACATGCTTTTGCGAGTAGTTCATAAACGTAAACGGTCAGTTTTATGTTCATCATGGGCTGCTTTTAGATACCTCAAATTTGTGGATGATGTTCCACTCTATCATCAGCCAATACATGTTATTACATTTCTTCAAATATAAAATGTACAGTGTATCACTCGAATGTAGATTCAATAATTAGAGTGTCTATATATCAAATGGATGGGAAAGTTCCAGAATAATTACCGGTTAAGGGTCAAATTAACGAAAATTACAATTAGGAATTAGAATGCCATAATAAACAGGGGGATGCATAAAACTCAAACAAAGTAGCAACGTAATTACTAAGAAGATTGACATTGTGCAATTTGGGGTTAGAAATGTAGAAATAACAAAAATAGACAGGATGTTTGGATAAAAAATCTAGTGGAATCATAACTAAGGTGAGGAAGAATTGTTGATGCAATCAGGGATTAAATATATAGAAATAATAAAATGACTAAATAGACAGGAGCCAACTTGAAAAACACGCTCGTGAACACTATCCAGCCCGGCTAGTAAAAGGAGATCGAAAACGTGTATATAGTTCGGTGACAGAACATCTGGTCAATTCAGCGCCATTCAAAAAATCCTTCAAAATAAAATACAAGATTCGATCAAACCTATCAAAGGTAGTGAAATTATTATTTCTACATTTCTAACCCCCAATTGCACAATATGTGAATCTTCTTAGTAAATATTATGCTACTTTGTTTGAGTTTTATCTGTCCCCCCGTTTATTATGGCATTCTAATTCCTAATTGTAATTTTTATGAATTTCACCTTTGACCGGAAATTATTCTGGAACTTTCCCATCCATTTTATATATATATATATATATATATATATATATATATATATATATATGAGTGTACAGCTTAGATGATGACTTTGTCGAAAAGAAAATTTTCTTCTCTGCAACTGTCTTCTTAATTAGAGTGTCATTTTATCAGCCAAAGGGGAACCATTGTTTTCGCCTAAAAATTAATATTTTCAAGTTGGGATTTGTGACAGATAATATCATACAAATAGGATGGAAAGTAGCTAACTGATTTACTCCTTTATTCAGAGAAAGATTTACTTTCAAACGAAAGATATCGAATTAAAGATCACAATAAATGTATGCTTTAGGGAAAATAGGTAATTTCTTCAGCCTAAATTAATATTAACTTATTTGAAAAGAGATTTGTTACTGAGTCTGTCTGTTTTCGACATAGGACTTTGCACATATGTGCGGCAGTTCAAGTCGCCACACTCCCTCCTTGTAGCACACAAATCAAGAGAAGAAAGTGAAAAGAAATGCATAATAGAGACAGTAAACAGAGGTGTGAGACAAAGGAATAGTAATAACGAAGAAGAATATAGTTTCATTGGAAATCATAAGTCACAATGAGTGGATGCATCTGCGCCAGTCATTGAGAACGATTTTGAGCCATGTCACCAATTGTTTCCAAACATTGGTTCTTACCATCCCGAGGACCCCAACCAGTCAGGAAGTCTTCACCTTCCTACGTGGCTTAGACTAACTGTTGTGGATTTAATTGACTGGTGCAATGTTTTGGTTTGACCGCCGCTAGCTGTTTTCCAGCCTGACCCTATATCAGCTGACATTGTCCGTCGAGGAGGGCGATGACTAGGCATACGTAACACATGTCCTAACCATCTCAGTCGATGTAACTTCACAGCCTCATCGATTGATTTCCCCTCCTTACCTAGAACTCGACGCCTAACCTCAATATTGCTCACCTTACTATACCACTTCACACGGGAGAAAGAGTGCAGGCACCTATGATCAAAGACAGCTTATCTTTTCATGTCTTCCACTGTCAATGGCCAAGTTTCACATCTAGCCATAAAGGAGGACGGAGCGAGCTGATGAGCAGTGAACCCGCCCTTTGGTCGATATCACGTCTACGCCAGAGACGGCGTAAACTGGTATATGCGAAACTAGCCCTCCGTATCTGTGCTGAGATTTCGTCAGAGGTCAGCCCGTTGGGGCTGATGGTACTTCCCAAATTAGTGAAGCGGTCAACGTGGTCTACCACTTCACTTCCTATTTCTAATCTAGAAGTCGGTGTAGTCCAGTCCTGTCACTGAGTGAGGTAAATTATTTAGCGGTTGATGCTTTAATTGAGTTAAATCTTCATTCTATCACCGACTTTATTGATCCAAGAGGAACCCATGAGTTTATAGAGTCATTCAATGTCAAGCATGCTGCGGTTGCCATTTACAAAGGTGTAAAACTTCTCTTCAAAAGAAGCAGCTTTCATTTAGGGCAGTGAAGCTAGATGTTCACTACTGCGTAACATCATAACATGCCATATTCTGTATTGTGATGCAGCATAAATTCTTCATTATTTTATTTTGTGTACTGCATGCTTACTTTCATATATTGTCAATTCTGAGATAAGATTGTTTACGTCTATTTTCTTATTTATTTATTTATACACAGAGTTCTCGGTCTGTGATTGTAACAAGTATTGTGGCAGTGTTTTCCGTCTTTGTCGGTCTAGTTGTATACATATATCAACCTGTTCTTATGGGTATTAGTGCATAATAATAATAAGCACAAGCCCAGAAACAATTTCTCCACTTGTAGTCTATTGCATTATCAAACGATGAAGAAGTGTACATTATGAATTGAAGGTGTGTATAATAAATATATCCTTATTATTTAATTAATATTATCAAAAATAACTAACTGATTTCAAGCACAAAATTGTTTACTTTAAAACCTTACCTTTCTATATTCCTATCTATATCTTTGTCATTTATTTCCTTTAGGTGAACATTTATTTGTTTGAGTTAATGATGATGTTCTCTACTCCTGTTTTTTTTCCCTGCCTACCTTTTTGTTTAAACTTATGGCCTTATTATTAGGGAATATGAACATTTCATCTCACCTTGTATGTGTGTGTGCGTAGCATAACTGTATTCAAACAAGGAAACACAAACACATCTATGACACGTATTGAGACAGAATTTTTATATTACAATATATATATATATAATATATAATATATAATATGGGTCTTTCTCCACTTTGTGTTTTCTTTCTTTTTTGGTTGTTGACAAATGCATATAGTTTAACTATTTCTTTCTCTTGTTTTAGTGGTTTAATTACTGTATTATTCACATAATATTTTAGCATTGCATGATTTCAATTTCTCTTTTTTCTTCCTGTTTGATTTTGTTTGTTTGAAATAATACATATGGTTTTTATCTTCAACAGAATGATTGTTTGCTCTCTCTCTCTCGCGCGCGCGATAATAAGTAAGTCGGTAGTAAATTAGTGGGTGCGTCGGTGGCCCAGCGGTTAGCATACTCGCCGACCATGCACATGGTCCAGGTTTCGATCACCGGCCACCGACCCACTGCTTTACCTCATTTATCCAGTAATAAGACTGGTAAAGGGGGAAGGTTTGGGCATGATGAGGATATAGCAACCCCATCCTGTAAAAATATACACAGCTACAGAAACGTGAAGCCCTATGATCCACTGGAAACGTGAAGGAAATAAAAAATAGTAAATGAGTATTTTGAACACAATGCTGAAGAATGTTTCTCTCTGATGAGACACTTGATGATTTCCCAAATACAGGTAGTTAGTTAGAGACGGTTGTGTAAAAAAGGCATAGGGACTCTTGTTATAAAATCTGGTAGTATTGCGTAACTGTTTGAGTTATCACATTGACTACCTATACAAATCAGGTAGACGGTAATGCGAGGATGGAAGAGCAAGTGGGAAATAGTATTGTGGTGAGGGGGCTGGCTGCTAGCCAAAATTGGTTAGATAGTAATTTACGTTAATATCAGTAAAAAGTTTGAGCATTTTGGATTAGATCAAATAAAGTATAATTATATTTCAATAGTTTACACACAATCATAAGTTTCGTTATTGGAAATATTACGTCAATGTTTACATCCGCAATATTGGTCATGAGAAAAATAAGACTGACTCAACAACCAATCACAACAGACTTTGCGTAGGCGGATACAATTTGCAGATATTAAGAAGACAATAGCAGCGAAGGTTTTCTTTTCGACGAAGTCATCATCTAGGCTGTACATTCGTGTATTTATATCAGGTGGATGGGAAAGTTCCAGAGTAATTTCCGGTCAAAGGTGAAATTCATAAAAATTACCATTGGGAATTAGAATGCCATAATAAACATAGGGGCGGATAAAACAAACAAATGTCTTTTGATATATCCTTCTTGTTCACCAATGTACCGTTAATGGAGACAGTGGGTTTTGTATGTGAGGAGATTACTACACGAAACATAGACACCGGCATTTCTGTATCCACTTTGAAAGAACTTATTTTAAGATGTACAATGAACGTTCATTTCTTATTCAATAAGGAATATTACAGACAAATTGATGGTGTAGCTATGGGTTCCCCATTAGGCCCAATCCTAGCTGATTTTTTCCTCGCTAAGTTAGAGAATGGACCACTGAAAGGAGTAATTAGGGACTTGGATGTCTACTGTCGATATATGGATGATACATTTCTGGTCATAATAAACGAGGACGATGTAATGAACATCCTTGACGAGTTTAATGATGCCCATTGAGCAATAAACTTTACTATAGAGAAAGAAAGTAATGACAGTATCTCATTCCTAGACGTCTTCATGGCAAGGAAAGATGGCACGCTAAGAAGGAGTGTGTGCAGGAAACCTACTACAACAGGTCAATACACTCATTTTTTGAGTTTTGTACCTTTGAAATATAAACGTAACCTGGTAAAGTGTCAGGTTCATAGAGCTAGGTTAATCTGTTCAGACGACTGCTCCAATGAGGAGCTTAAGATTATTAGAGAATTACTGAGAAAAAATGGTTATCCAGTTTATTGAGAATATGAATTCATCACCTGGGACAGTCACTATGGCTACACTTTCGAAAAAACCACTGTTCATAAAACTTCAGTTCCTCGGTGACAACATCAGCGAAATAACAACACAACGACTGAAGAATGCAGTTAAAAGAGCTTATTATGCAGCAGAGGTACGTTGTCTCTTCACAATCACACCTATTCTACGTCCGAGTAATAAGGATAAACTACCTAAATTCGCCTCTTCTATGTGTATCTACCAGTTTGACTGCAGCTGCGGAGCCAGCTACATCGGACGAACAATTAGGCAGGTTCATCATCGTATTTCCGAACATTATCCGGCATGGTTAAGCAAGGGACAAGCAAGATCTATTCGTAGCTCTATTTTAGCACACCTTGTTGGCACTGAGCATAAGGTTGATGTGAATACTGCATTTAAAATTATTTATCGCATTCCTACTAATCTTAATTATGCTTTACTAGTTCGTCTTCTACGTACAGCTGAAGCAATAGGAATCCACCTGAAGAAGCCAAACTTATGTGTTCAGAAGAAATTTGTACAGCCACTTTCCTTACCTTGGCCATCGTTACATGATTGTATAAACCGGACTACTTCATCCCCTCCCCCTAAAATATTTTTTCATTTTAAAAAAACTATAATTGTACAAATTATTTTATTTTTCTGACTACTCCATCTTTAATTACGTGTTATCCTTGTAAAAATTATTTTATTTTTCTGACTACTCCATCTTTAATTACGTGTTATCCTTGTAAAAATTATTTTATTCTTATGACCACTTCAACTTTAGTTACAAATTATCATTGTCCAAATGGCCTTATTTTCTTTAACAAACTGTTACGTAATCAACCTGTGCACACGCTTATTCCTTAATTGCTCTTCATGTTTCCAAAATTATGCATTATGCAATCCACTTGTTGTAACCATTTCCACCTTTTAATTATGTATAATAATTTTCTTTGTTAATTATCACCCTATTGACATTTTGACACTGACTAATTATTGTTAACAAACATATCAGTGCCACTTGATTGGTAAACTGTTGTGTATTGTAATAAAAATGCTATACGTGTATATTAAAGTAGAGCCAGAGATGAGGATCTAATTGAAAAGTAAATATTTCTTCGCTGAATCTTTCTCTTTTCTAAATGTCTAAATGGGGATATTTTCTATATTGAAAACAAACAAAGTAGCATCATAATAACTAAGAAGATTGACGTTGTGTTATTAGGGGTTAGAAATGTAGAAATAACAAAATAGACAGGATGTTTGGATAAAAACTAATGTGATGAATAATTGTTTATGCAGTCAGGGATTCAATATGCAGAAATAGTAAAATGACAAAATAATCACTAAGTTCGGGTATGAAAATATGGTAGTGTAAACAGGGATTAAGAAAAACTTAAAATAACATGAATAAACAGGAAGTTTAGATAAGAAAGGCGATGGAATGGTCATTACTAAAAGAATTACCTGTTTATGATGGCCATGGCAGGGACAGGGGCTGGACGTATTTCTTTTGGATACATAGCGTAGGTTTGAGCTTTTGGATAGCTAGCGCCTCGGCTATGCCCAAATGTCTTGATTTCACTCCCTTTGATAGGTTTGATTGAATCTTGTGTATTACTTTGAAGGATTTTTCGAAAGGCGCTGAATGTCCTGTCACGCCTTTGGTCTCCTTTTACTAACCAGGCTGGGTAGTGTTCACGAGCGCGTTTTTCAAGTCGGTCCATGGTATGGCCAATGTACTCAGCTCCACAAGAGTAGGTAAACTGGTATATGCACATCGAGGTGGCCCAATGCGACAGCTTGTCTTTTGTGTTCTGGCTGAACAGTTTCTTGCAGGGAAACGTCAGTCGTAGGCTCGCGGCGGAGTATGTTTTCCTCAACCATTTGGAGAGGCATTTACGAAGGAATTCTGCTTCAATACCACCTTTGAATTCTAAGTTAAGCAGAAGTATTTTCTTTGGGACGGATTGGACTTGTTCGGAAGTCTTCTTAGATTTGAGATTCTTGTCTATGAACCTGGGCGGGAAACCGTTTTCCATCAGTGTTTTCCGGAGATTACGCAGTTCTTCTTCAATCACTTCCTCGCTGCATATCTTCCAAATCCTCGAGGAAAGAGTGTATATCAGGTTCCTCTTCCTGCTTAGGGGCAGGAAGCTTTGAAAGTTGATGAATTGTTCATTCCATGTAGGCTTTTTGTATGTGGACCTTTTCAGAGCTTTGTTGGCGTTAAGACCATGAAAGTTGGAGGGTTGAACGAATTTTTTCTGTACACAGAGATCTAGCTTTTCTGTTTCGATAACCAAATCTTCAGCAATATAGATGAGCCGGGTACGTAGTGATTTGGAAGAGTTATTTTTCCCTTGTAGATGACTTTAAAGGCGGAGGCAATAGAGATGGGGTGATCATTATCGACCAGATGATCAATGATCGCGCTTCTTATTGCTCCAATTCCACCTCTTCGTAACCATGCAGGATAGTGTTCTTGCACCTTGTTGGACAAAACTCGAGTCGAACGACCAATATACCTATCTCCACACGAGCAGGTGAATTGATAAACACACGCAACGGGATCTTGTCCTTCAGGTTATTGAACAATAATGGTCGACTAGTGAATGCTATTCTCAGAGATGCAGTAGGGAATGTTCTTTTCAGGGACTGTGATATCCTTCTTTTCATGATATCGCCTTATCAT